TCTATATCCATGCATGGATGAGAAGCCCTGAACATCAAGGAAGAACAGTTTAGAACAATTGTTTAGAACTGGTAGAACTACCCAGTATAAATTCAGGTAGTTTAGTTTAGTTTAGGTTTCCTCCTGTAGTAACACTGGATCAATAAGGGCGCTTTTCATTTAATGGCCTGACCGGTCAGACCCGAATTTTTGTCTCTATCAATGGAAAGATCTGGTCTGTGTTTCTCAAATATCTAGCGAAAATGGACCTCATTCTAATTTTATCTAAATTTTCCGGTCAGATAGATCCAAAGCCCGACCGTTTTGTGTTTCATTCAACAACTTGACCGTTCTGACCGGTCTGTCCGTGTTAATGGAAAGCGCCCTAAGAGATGCTCCTTACTGGACCTCCAGGGAGAACAGTTTAGAACTGATAGAATTATCCAATTGATATAAATACAGTTAGTTTAGTTTAGGTTTTCTCCTGTAGTAACACTGGATCAATAAGAGATGGCCCTTACTGGACCTCTAGGAAGAACAGTTTAGAACTGATAAAGCTATCCAGTATAAATAAAGTTAGTTTAGAATAAAGCCCAAATGAAATGTTCTAAAATGAAATTTTCATTCGTGTTTTAGTTTATCCAGCGACTACGACGTTGCCGTTGCCAGTTTCCTGCGAGTCATCAGACTGGCTTGCAAGCTCTACGTCAGTCCAAGGTTGCTTGGCAACAGCCGCCCTCGCGTGTACACTTCAGGCCCAAGCATGTACGGACGCGCAGACAGCACGAGTAGCCGAATCCGCGCTGCATTCAGCGGTCGTCTGAGTAGCAGTACTTCAACTAGTAGTGATGATCATGAGTCTCCTCAGACGAACGTGTTTGCGCCGCTGGAAGAGGTCTGGGAGGCACTGGAAGAATGGTTTCTGTTGCTACTGAGTGAAATGGAGGATATTGAGGGTGAAGCAGGGATAGATGACTGTGTCCTCTTAGATGATGGCATAGGTATTATTGGGTTTTTTTCCTTATTTGTATTTTTCTGCTATAGTTCAAAGGTATAAGCTAGGGAGTGCTCAATGTAGATAGGATATTTGTAGATGGAATTCTCGAACGA